ACTCTAGAGATTTTTCTAAAAATCAAACTAGTCCGGAATTAAACTGGTATACTTAAACTGAATTGTTTTAACTCGAAAAATACCCGAATTTATACTAATAAAAATCTCGGACGCAATTATAATAATAATAAAAAATTATACCTCCTTTCGAATAGACAAAAAGCTGAAAAATTTGAGAAAACGAAGCCTCGAACGATCGAACTCGTCCTCGACAAATTTGCTCCTTTTGATACTATTTAACGCAGAAATTCAAACTCTCATAATAAATGCTCAGAACTCCGAAAAATGCGAAATTTGTCCGTATGGAATCATGTTTGAATTGTCTACACACTCCAACTCAATTCTCGTTAAACCGAGGTCACACGCAACCTTACGGAACCCCGCAAAACGGCTTTTTATTCTTCTAATTATGCGCACTCGACTTCGAGCTTCTCAAAATAAATGCTCCAAACTTCGAAACGTGAAATAAATTTTACGAACGGCTTCTACTGTTCTCGTGCTTTCAAGAAAGCACTCTCGCTAATTTTCAGCACGCCTAACGAGGGCCGACTGTTACCCGAAGTCTAGACATGAAAATGACAATAAAATCACCGCCACTGCCATTTTTCTCTCAACTTCGGGCTACCCAAAATAAATTGTCGAGACCTCGAAATCATAAATCGATGCCACCAACGCACTCTTCGCTTCCCGTACTTTCATAAAATTATTTTTCGGTAATGATCGACTCGGTTTTTGAGTCCCGTCGGTACACCGCAAGTCGGCTAATTAACCAACTCAAAATATAATAAAAATGAAAAAATTATTAAATTCTGCTGTTGTTATAGTTCTCCTTGTTCCGAAACCAAGATCCCGTTTCGGGGAAGGCCCAATTTGTCTTTAAAAAAAAATTTTCACAACAAAACCGGTGGCGCTCCTCCGCCCATGTATGTACCGCATGAAACCGGGGAGGGCCCAACATGCGCACTCAAAGGAAAATCTTCGAGTTCTAGCAAAATTCTCCACCCCTAGTTTAATTTTTTTTTTTGGAGGGGCCGGCGCCTCTCCGACCCCCCAAGTGCTTTCGCCCCTGATCTCGAAAGTACCTTGCAGGAAAAATACGATTTTTTCCTAGGGCAACACCAACAACGAATTAGAGCGTACTCATAACGTGTTGTAAATTGGAACTCTTCTGTATTCACCAAGCATCCACCAATCAACCAAACATAAAGACATGCAGTAAAGAGAATAAGAAAAGAGGAGCAGAAAAGTCTGTTTTTTATTCATCGGTATTCACTCTTTTTATAGAGTTTACAAGGGAGAAACCCTAAAACCTAATTCTACTAACTAATGGACTTCAGGCCCAATTATCTATTAGTAATGTCCATATTAATATATTTATAACACAATTTTGCCTTTAATAAATTACTCAACCACTTCAATTTTTTGATTTGAATATTTCATATAAAAACAAAACCATCTATTTAATGAAACATTATATGATTTATAAATATACTTATTATTCACATATATTTTTAAATAGACGAGAAAAATTTGCAACTTACCTATAAATTCGATTTTAAAAAAATTGATTGTGTTTTTTATTCCAAACAATCTAATTGCCGAAAATTTTTCCTTAGAACTTGAATTGAAATTTTAAAATTCAAAATCCCTTCTCATTTTAGTTGCCATAAAATTAAGTTTAATTCAAAATCTTTTCCTAATATAAAGGATTTTGTTCAAATTGAATTTCAAAAATATCTAATCACATGCTTCTATCCATATCCTTAAATGAAGGATTTTGTGGTGCTTTAAAATTAACAAACCTATTGGAAATTACAAAAAATCATAATGAATTTCTATTTTTTTTCAATTTGCACGAAATTCAAAATGGTTTAAGAATTTCAAATCAATTGAAATTCATCTCTTTAATTTTTTTCCATAAGTTTCAAATTTTACAATAATTAAGTCAAATTACAAATGGATTGTTTCAAAAATCAAGAGGATGATTTTGAAAATAGACAAACTTTTTTTTTTTTTTTTCAAAATTGTCTTAGTCTCCATTCAATAAATCTAGGAAAAATTAGAGAATTCGTCCTGTAAATGGCACCTATTTGAGGTTTGGTCCTCTCCGATGCCCACTTTTGGATCACGTCTCGTAAGTGGCAAAAATCGTGAGAAATCACCGGCTAGCCTACGTGGAATTTTTACTTTTTTTTTTTGCTGAGTTGTATAATTACGTGGCATATTTAAAAAAAGATGGAAAAGTGAAGCCAAGGGGATTCGAACCTGAGTTGTTAAGGTTTCAAAATGAGGTTATGATCCACTAGACCTACAACAACTTATGTTAAAATCTTGACTGCACTTATATATCAATTAAGAATGTTTTATCAAAAAAATTATATATATGTTCAATTTGTAATACTTTTAAAATAATACCTAAATTATTTATTAAATATGTATTACTCACGAAATTAAAATATGTAAGCTAAATAGATAAATAAATAATATTATATTATATATTTAATTACCTTGTTTAGTTAAATTTTTGTTATCATCAATGTTGTTTTTTGTACTAATTTATATTATTAATATTTAATTAATTTTTTATGTATTAAATATATAGCTACTAAATAAATAATACGATCTTATATTACTATATTTAAATGAATATATATATATATATATATATAATAAATAACTAAATAACAATTAAAGGTTGTTGATAATAAACTAATATATTAAATAAATAATTACTTAATAAATATTATTTAATTAAATGTTTCTAATTAAATGTATAATATATTTAATTAAAATTTACTAATATATTAAATAAATATTTACTAAGTAAATATTCATATTAAATAATACAATAAATAAATATATTAAATAATTTAATAATTATAGTAGAATGAATAAATATATATAAATAATATATAAATAAATTATATAATTAATAAATAATAAATTACTTAATAAATAAAAATATTTAATAAATAAATATAACAAATAATATAATAGATAAATTAATATACTAAATATAAAATTAGATAATGTAAATAAAAATAAATAAATGATAATAAATATTTCATTAAACAAAATATTCATATTTAGTATTTATTTATTTATTTTCATTTTATTAATTAAACACAAATTTTATTAAATATGTATTAATTACATTAAATAATATAAATAATAAATATATCAAATAATATGATTTTATTTTAATATATTCAAATAGATAAATATATTCAAAAATTATATTTAATATTTAAATAAATAAATAAATTAAATAATATATTTAATATGTAAATATAAATATATATATATATAATAAATACATTAAATAGCGATATATATATATATATATATATATATATTAAAGGCTGTGGATATCAAATTAATATATATTAAATAAATAATTACTAAATAACTTTTATTTTATTAAATTTTTACTAAATAAAAATATTAAATAATTTATTTTTGGATAAAGAATTTCTGATTAATATATAAGTAAAGTAAGATTTATTACAAATAGTGTTTTAGGTCAAATGGCATTAATCCTCTTTTGTGTGCCCATCACCCTGGGTTCAATTCCCCTTCCTTGCATTTTTTTTGTAAAAAAGCCACATAATTTGCCAACTAAGGATCAGATTTACAACTCAGGAAAAAAAAAAAAAAGAAAAATTATTTTAAAATGCCACATAGACTAGCCGGTAAAAATGACCTGCATTTGCCGGTGATAGGACTATTTCTCACGATTTTTGCCACTTACGGGACGTGATCCAAAAGTGGGCATCGGAGAGGACCAAACTTCATATAGGTGCTACTTACAGGACGAAATCTCCAATTTTTCCATAAATCTACATAAAGCGTGGAATTTATGTCTACGAAATTTCTTTTCACAGTAACTAAAAAATAATAATATTTTTGAAAATTTTGTGCTCAAATTACTTAAAAGAATAATAATAATAATTTTGAAAATTTTTGTACTCAAATTACTCAAAAGAATAATAATAATAATAATAATTTTGAAATCTTCTATCCTCAAAGTTTACGGTAGTATCGTCATTATTTTCAGCACCATGTCAATATTTATTTTATATATACTAGGTAAATTTTCTTTCAAAAACTTTATAATCTATTTATTTAAGCTTATAATATTTTATCATGTCATATTCAGAAAACATCTTTCATACAAAGTAAACTTTAATATTTTTAGATATATTTTCTTTACAAAATAGTTTAGAAACTTTAATAATAATATAGAAAATTTTAGATAATTTTACATATGTTAATACAATATTTTAGGTGTTTTTAATTGTTTAAATATACAAATTTTATGTTCTCTTGAACAAGCTAATTTTATACTATAGTTTATAATAAACTGATATACCGTAAATTATATGACATGTTAACCCTACATCGTAATTTATAATTATTATTTAATATCGTTACCCTCATCTTTAATTTATAATATTTTTTCTTGCTCTTTTAACAGAGGATCAATAGTGGTTCCCTACTTCTTTCATTTCGTGACTCGAACTCGATACTTATTTATAATTATTATTTAATATTATTTACCCGTATATCGCACGGGATACGCACTAATTATATATTAATCAACAACTACATTAGTATACACACTTAAATGCCAAGTCGTCATCAATTAACATTCATATGACACGAGTAATGCAAAGGTATGAAACATGGATGTTCTATTCTTTTGTGTTCATTAATGCATATAACATCATTGTTGAATCAATTAATTACTTCCAATTGCTTCCTGATATTGCCATCTTTTTGTTATTCACAAGTGCCAATCTGTCCCCACAAATGAAATGTGCTTAAATGACGAATTAAACGTGCAAATGATATAATTGATTAAATCATTAAATGGGAAAATATTGTTGAACCAACTGTTGATGTCATCAAGATCGTGTAATAAGAGACATTAATCCAAATTAATTAAACAAATAAGTACTCAAGAAAAAAAAAAAAGCAGTTAATTAGAAAAATAAAATTCAGGGGAAGAAGACATTGGACCACATATTATTGAGAACAACATTAGTATTAGTATTAGTATTAGTATTAGTCCCCTGAGGCTGAGGCATCATCATATGATCTTCTTCTCCTCCTCCTCCACCCTGCAGGTGTGGGGTCCACTCCGAAAACCACGGCTGCTGCTGAGCCGGCTGTTTATCCTTTCGGAGTGCCTCGATCCTGCTGTAGATCTCCTTGAGGCTGCGGTCGAGCAGCCACGTGACGTCGTTGAGATCTGGCGGGGGCAGGCCGTGGACCCCACGGCCCGTGAGGCACTCGTACATGAGGCGCGTCATCTCCTTCTCTCGGTTGTCCTTACGCAGCTTCTTGAGGTGGTCGGCCGCCCGGGCCCCGCGCTGGCTTAGGAACATCTCCTGGTTCACCATCTTCTTGCTTTGCTCCATCTCCGGCATGCGCTTGAAGTGGGCCAGCACGCGCTGGGCCCCACCGCGCCCGTCTGGCCACACGTCCGGCTGGGCCTCGTAAGGGCTGTACACGATCGCGCAAGCCTCTATCCCGCACAGCGTGCTCAGCTCGCTCACTTTCTTCATCAGCCCCTTCTTCCGCTTCTTGAACGTCGCCTTGCGGGACGAGTCGTTGCTGATGAACGCTAATTTCACTTTCTTACGAGTCATATCGATCAACCCCTCTGCCTCAATTCTTTCTTTCCTTCGTTGTGTTTTTTGTATGGGTATATATAAATGGATTTGGGGGATTGATTGTTTGGAATTAATGTGGGGATTTGGAAGTTATGGCAAAAGGAGGGATTTTGGTAACAAAGGTGTTAATGTGTTTGATATGAAGCTCACAATGTATTATTACTTTTTGAGAGATGTTACGGTCCCATTACGAAACCATTTCGTCGGAATTTTATAACTGTTAGATCAACTATATCCGACGGTTACATGATGATCTAACAGTTACAAACTCCGACGGAATGGTTCCTGTAACGGGACTGTAACAATGTCCTTACTTTTTATCTTCAAGATATTTGTGTCTCTATTTTCTAGGCTGTCACATATATGTAGATGCCTTCGTCGTTACTGTAAATTATAATGATCTAAGTTGTTTGTAC